TTCCTCGCTGATCCTTATCATCATCTCTGATCGCTCTTGCAACGATCTAGTAAGTACCGCATTATCAGAAACTGCTCGGTGAATTCCTTGTTCCAATTCATCGATCTTTCCTTCAAGCTCGGCTTTAATATTGTCCCACTGAACAGTCTTAGCAAAAATCACATCTTGAAGCTTCTCCTCACTCTCTTCTTTCACAATCCTTATCTGCCTCGTACACTCTTTCAACGCATCATCCAAATGCGACCCTCGATCCTCCGCAGTGAGCTTTAAGAGCGTAACAGTTTCGAGTTGACGCTTAAGTGCCAAAGTTTCTGCATCAGCTTTCTCCCATCCTAAACGAACAAAGACTACTAATCATTTCAAAACAGTCCATATTTGTAACACAAAACACAAGAATCCTTACGTAACATTTCGAATAATCGAGGTTTTTTCTGACCTGAAACAGCTTCTTCGGCGACTTTAGCATGTTGAAGAATCAAACATTCTTTAGTCTTGATCTCTGAGTGAGCAATAGTGAGTTTTTCTTTAAGATCTTTAACTTCAATCTCAAACAGTTTGACTTGATCCTCCATTTTACTCATATGTGTGTATGAATCCATAGTTATCTGAACATAATTCGTGTTTTTACACTTCTCCTAATACACAACACAACACCAAAACATAAGAAAAGAAACAAAGACTTTCCAATTTAAAAAAAAAAAAAACAGAGTTTTTGGTTTGAAATTAAAAAAAAGCACCTGATTCTCCAGAGAGGCTAAGTAAGACAAAGAACAAACATTAGTTGACTCGTTTCCAACCACTGCTTTCTCGGTCGTGTTTTTGTCTGAAGACTTTCTCTTCCATGGCCAACTTCGACCTTCCATTTTTAGCTTCTTCCTTACTTCTTCTCAAGATCAAGAAATGAAGAGGCTTAGTACTAAAAAACAAAAGAATCTTGATTTTGTTTAGATATGGAAATAAAGTTTTGAAATTTTGAAACTAAGATACAAAAAAGGAAACAAAATCTTCCACGATTCCGTTTAAATGTTGCTTTCAAATTTCACATCCAACAAAAACAAATCCCGCAATATTTATGCCTATAGAAAAAGCCTATAAAACTCAAAACAGTGACCGTTTTGTTTTCTTGTTTTTATTTTCTACAATGAATGAGACAATAAATTATTTCTTTCCGAATATGGTACAAATTCACCCACCACTTATTTTTCCAAATAAGAAAAAAAAACAAGATCGTATTCTTAAATTAATTTTTCGAAAACTCGATCATCATCAGCTACACTATCTACAAAATCACAAAACAAAACCACAAATTTATTTTTTTTTATTTCACAATAATCAGGAACCAACTAGGGTGAATGTAACCCGTCAAGTAGCCCACTCACCGGATTTTCTATTAAAAAGTTCAGTTTACCTCTCGAAAGAAATCCAAAGAAGTTACACAATACATTCTTTGTTTCAAGCTTTAGCTAAAAAATCAGAAACAAAAACATACCAAAAACAATTGATTCGTCAATACACACTTCAGAGCACGCGAAGATCGAAGAACATTCCTCGAAGCTCGAACCCGAGA